TAAAAGCATGGTTTTATTTTCATTTAAAACATTGTAAAGAATACCTGCTATGTATGACAAATAATATGACTTCATTTACAGCAATGACATGAATAAATGTATTTAGAAGTGAAGCTCTAAGTACACAAGGTGAGCTGTGAAAATGCTCGTTAAATACTCGCACTCTTGGTCCATGAACGAGGCAGCGCGGAACGTACGATCCAAGTCTGGAAAGCGCAGTCTGGCCACATTCCTTACTCCTGCATCCACTCGCCCTCCTCCCCCTCCCCCCTTCTCTTCCAGGGTTTACGTGTTTATTTCTCTCATGAAGAAGAGAGAGAGATAGAGAAGAAACACTTGGGGAGACGGCACCCTCACCGGGTCTTGACGGTGCAGTCTACTACCAGCTTCAGCCCCCCGGATCATGCGCACAGGTTCATAGTGTATTCAGGGGTTATTCGGAAGGAACCAGGAACCTCTCCCCCTTGGGTCAGCTTCACAGAACATTGTGTTGGCATCACCATGGGGTCCTGCTCTCCCTTCTCAACTCATGTCCTGGCTTTGCTGCATCAGCTTCGTCCAGCTCTGCGCCCACCTGTTCCCGATAAAGTCCATCTCCTTTCCTACCCTAGGGGACAGCACTGGGAGTTTGGTGAAGCCAGTCAGAGTGCTCTTTCACTTTGCCTCTGGTGGGCTTATCGATAGGCACCGGATCCAGACCAGGCTCATTAGGTTCAGAGCTGAGATTTGAACTCAGTTTGGCTCTAGAGGCTATTCACTAAACCTCGTGCTCCCCTGCCTCCCTCATGCTACGGCCTTTGAGCTGAGACTGACGGCTGAACAGCAGGTTACATTAGTGGACGAAGGAGGAGAGGGGTGCAATGAAGCCACAGATGTGGTCAGGGACCAGACCACGCAGGACCTTGTAGACAACGGTAAGAGCGCCTTCTGGGACACCATCCCAAAAGCAATGCAAAACTCCTGGGTGGCTTTTAGCAGAAGGGTGAGTGCCTAGATTAGAATTGTTAAAGACCACCCTGATACAGAAAGCACTTAGCCTGGAATCCGGCACCTGGTAGATGTGGGTGTGAAACTGGAGAATGGAAATGTGCCTCCCCTCTGCCCCTTCCCTTCTGCTGCTTGCCGAGCCTGCTTCTATCAGAAGAAGCCTCTCAAAGCCTGCAGGGAAAGTAGTCTTAAGTAGGACGCAGCTTTGCCCAAGGGCACTGAAGTTTAGATGAGCCTGTTAGCTGAGGGCAAAGGCGAGAAGCAAAGGTTCCTGCTCCTGGGACTTCTACATTTTGGTATCACTGAATTTCTACAGTTAAAAATTGCAGGACTTTGCACTGAAGAGTTAATGAGGCCAGTGGAAATGACCGAAAGAAAGGAAGGCCAGTGAATAGTTGAAGGAGAAGGCCCGCCTGAGCAGGGGCTCTGGAGCCAGCGGGGCCCTTTCCTGGGTCAGGCCTATAGGCAGACAGCATGTTCAGCCTACAGGAAACAAGGTTCGTCTGCGCACAGTCCCTGTTCGCACGTGGGAATGAATGCACGGCTCCAGGAGGAAGATGAGAGTGTAATTTAGAGATAGGAATAGTCAGAGGAATTCAACCGAGAAAAAACATCCTAGCACAAACTTAAGACATAAAAGTAAAATCCATTTCACAAGACCCAGAAAGCCTGACTCTTCTTGTAAAATGTCCCCATAGAATCCCAACAAGCTTTGGCACCCTGTCTCCCAGCCCCTCCTACCACCATCCCTTGCTCCAGCCCTATGGGATTTTGTGGTCCTTCAATCCTTCACCTATTCCAGAACAGCCTATAACCACCGACTCTGCTGCTGTTCCCTCTCCGTCTCAGCCCCCACAGATCCAGAGGCCCAACTCACTGAGCAAAGATACTTCCTAGGTCCTGCCCACCGCCCCGGACCCCATCGCCCAGAGCTTGGACTGACTTTGGTCAGCTCCCTTTCTACCTGGGCTCCCTCCTGTGTCGGGGCAGCACGGCTCAGAGATCAAACTTCTAATCTCAAGAGCCGGACACACCAAACTGGGGTGTTTAGTAGCGGCTCAGACAGCAGGCTTAGGTGCCGGCTGCTGGTATCTCATCCCTGGTTTCCCCACTTAATTGCTTGTGCTTCCTTGAATAAGTTATTCGCCCTCGGGCCTCGGTTCTCTTGTCTGTAAAGTGGGGATGATAATAAACCTGCTTCACAGAACTAGGCAGCTTAGTAAATGGAGTCATACCTGTCAACGGAGAGCAGTTCTGACGTCTAGGAGGGTTTCCACGAGTGACAGACATTCTATTATCTGAGCCCTTTTCTTATACTGACCAGTTAGGCCACCTTGGAAAGTGATTGGATCCATGCTGTGGCTCGGAAGCCACCCTTGTTACCCTGCAGCAGCGCATCCGTTCCCCTGAGTCACCCGACAGGAGCAGTTTCCAGACAGACCTGTGATGGCTGGGCTCCTGGTGACCCTGAGAATGATGCTCCCCCGCGGTCCGTGCCTCCGTCTCTCGTCCCCTCTCTCCCTTCAGGTTTCATCAATATCTACACCTTTTCACATCATCCTTTTGCTTTCTCATGCCTCAAACGTTGGGTAGAGGTTTCTTGACCCCTTTTTCTTTTTTGTTTCATTTTAGAGGCTTTAGCCTTAGGGCATGTGCGCTTGCAGGAGAGCAATAGAGAGAGACAGAGACAGCGAGAGGAAAAGTGAGAAATCAGCACTCCCGGGGTGGGGGTGGGGTGGGGAGTGGCCACGCTGCAATCTCTTCTCCCCCATTCTGCTCCTGGGGTCATGGGCATGCATGCACACAGGCCTGGTGTGAGTTTCAAGTTACCAGGTCTGGGACTCGAGCTGCAGTTGGCAATGTGGGAGTCCAGTGATGTAACCACTACGCAATCTGTGGCCCTGACCACCCCCCCTTTGTTTTTTAATGCAGAACTTGGCGATTTCCAAATGCAAAGGGTCAGGCCCTCTCCAGAATGGGATTAATCAAGGACCCAGTATGGGTGGCTGAGAGGATGACAGATAATGGTGATGGCCTCTGGCAGAGCAAGAAACCAGTCATCCCAGCCCCTTCCTCTCTTTCTTCTCCTACATCTGGTTGGTCACTACGTTCAATTCTACTTCCTCTCTGCCAGCTTTGCGCAGTGGCAGTATCGTAGCCAATGAGGTTTATCCGAGGTGCGATTATGGCTAATTCTACTCCCCCCCCTCTTTTAATTGAAGGTGCATGCATCACCAGAGAGAGAGAGAGAGAGAAAGCTCCTTGCACTGGGGTGCAGTCATGCTTCAATCCTTCTTCCTCCATTTCTTTATCCAACTGGGTTTTGGTGCACACATGTACAGTACCAAGTGTATTTTTCAAGCCCAAAGGGCCAGGATTCAGACCATAGTCGGTCTTGTGGGATCTGGCTCCCAAAGCAGTGTTTAACAGCTGCCTTCGGGGCTGGCCTCCAATTATACCTTTTTAATGGCTCTCAAATATGCACCTCTCCTTACCCTCCCACCCTTCACTACCCACCATCTGACTCAGGCCTACATCCATCGCCATCCCTGCAAGAGTCCCCAGACTGCTGGCTCCTTCTCCAGTGGGGCTTCCCTCCTGTCATCCATCCTGGTTGCAACCCTTCCAAAACAGAAACATAACTATGTCCTGCCCCTTCTGAAAATGACTTCATTTCTCTTCATTGCTTCAGGGAATGCCCAACTTCGATTAGGATGTCCATCAATCCCCACCTTCAACATGGAAAACGTCCCACGCCTCTCTGAACCTCAGCCCCTGACGAGAGCTAGACTCTGAGTAACTGCCAGGTGGGAAAATGCATGATGCCCCTAAAAATACTATGACTTTTCAATGCACCTGAATTTTTAAAACCGTTGCAATATTTATTTACATTTTTAAAATAGCATATATATTTACAGTATTTATTCATTCAACAGGAAATGCTCAGTACACATATGAATGTGAGCACTCCTTCCAATAACTTCATAGCTCTACAGAGTCTTCTGGGGCTTGCAGGCTGGGAATAATTGGCCTAGAACTTTAACTCCGAGCTCTTGTGCCCTCCAGCACTCCTTCCTCCTATAAATATCCATGCTCCAGCCAGGGGTATCTTTTTAGTTTCTCCAGAGAACCTCAGAACCTTCCATACCTTCTCAGAGGGCTGCAGGCCTCTCTTCCTCCTCTCGGGTGAATTCTATCTCAAATGTCACCTCCTCTGATGAGCCCGGCAGTTTGTAACATTTTCTTTTGTACAAAACTCAATTAGCACCAAGTTTAATGAGTTGCAATTACAGCTGGCCATGGGTTCTGCATCACAGACTCAATAAACCATGGACTGAAAATACTGGAGAAAAGATGGGTGCGTCTGTACCCGACGTGTACAGATGTCCTCTCGTTGTTACTCCCTACACAGTATAGCAACCACTCCCATATTGCTTACATTGTAGTAGGTGTTGGAAGTAAGCTAGAGACGATTTAAAACACACAGGAGGCTGTGCGCAGATTACCTGAAAATACCACACCCTTTTGTGTAAGGGGGTTGTACATCTGTGGCATTGGGTACCCCGGAACCAGTTTCCCATGATACCAAAGGAAGACTCAGTATGTCAATATGTCTATTTTTCTCTCTTTAAAAGCTCCTTATGCAGAGATACCCTGACTGTTTGATCTTTCCTCCCTGTCCACTAAGACAGCTTCTATAGTGGATAGGTGCTTAGTACTTGTTAAGACTAGTGAGCGGATAAAGGAACCTAGAGAGAGTTCATCTTGTCAGGACAGTGGTGATGGGAGGGCCAGCTGGGGGTCCAAGGTGAAGCGTATATATTTTAATATGGTCTTTGGGGAGTAACTAATGAGGGGCCCCTTACGCCAACCAGGTAGGTGGGTAACACGAGGCAGCCTCTTCCAGGGAGCCTTACGAGTGCTCCCTGGGCATTAGAGGATTCCTCTCTGAGGGAAGGGAGCCCCATTGGTATTAGAGGAGGATTCCTCTCTGAGGGAAGGGAGCCCCAAAAGCTTTTTTTTTTCCAGTTTTTATGTTTAGGAGGTTCATCATATTAATTTGCTTAAAAGTTCACTCTATCAACCAGCAGATGGTGTAATGGTTATGTTGCTGGACTCCCACGTAGTTGACTGCAGTTCCATTCCCAGACCTGGTGGCTTAAACCTCATCCTTGGTGTGTGTGCATGCCCAAAATCCTGAGAGGAGAATGGAAGAGAAGGGATTGTGGCATGGCCATTCCCCCTGGGGGGTCATTTCTCGCTTTCTGTCTCTTTCTGTCTGTCTGGTACATACACATGCCCTATAGCAAAAAATCTCTCTCTCTCAAAAAAAAAAAGTTATTCATTCACTTTTACTAATGTGTGATGTACCATTATAAGAGTATACTGGTTGGGTATTTGGATTGTTTCTAATGAGTGGCTAATGTGAATAAAGCTGCTGTAAACATTGAGTACAAGTATTCGTATGGACACGTGTTCATGTCTCCTAGGTGACCAGCTACAGGTAGAACCGCAGGGTTACGTGGTAAGTGAGGTTTAGCATAGTAAGGAGCTTCCAAACTGTTGTCTAAAGTGGTTCTACCTTTTACATTCCCACCAGGACTCTGTGACCGTTCTGGCCTCGTGCCTGTCAACATTCGGAATTACCAGTCTTGATAATTGGAGCTATTCTAAAGGGTGCACAGCAGTATCTCTGTGATTCTCGCTGACGTTTTCCTGATAACGGATGATTCAAACATCTCCTCGTGTATTTATTTCCCATTCGTATGTCCTCTTTGGAGAAGTGTCTGTTCAAATCTTTTTTTTTTTTTCTGTTTTTTCATCTTCCTATTATTGAGTTTTATTTGTATGTTATTATGGATACAAATTGTTTGTCAGATATATATGTGTGACTATTTTGTCCTAGTCTGAGCCTTACCTTTTTATTTTTCATAACATCTTTCATAAGTTAAAAATGTTAATGTTTATGTAGATCAATTTACTCCCCCCACCTCTCTCTCTCTCTCTTTTTTTTTTTTTTTGCTATAGAACATGTGTACTCACCAGAGAGAGAGATAAAGGTAGAGAGAGGGAAAGTGAGAAATCATCTCCCAGGTGGGATGACCAAGCAGCAATCCCTTCTCCATTCTCCTCTTGGGATTCTGGGCATGCACACACACGTGCCTGGTGTGTTTTTCAAGCTGTTGGGTCTGGGATTTGAACTACACAGTCAGCTATATGAGTACTAGTGCCTTAACCACCACACTACCTGCTGGCCCCACTTTTTAAAATAGTTTTTGCTTTTCGTGTCTTAAAACATTTTGTGTCCTGAGACTTTTAGGTCATACATATATTCTTTGAGAAGTTTCATAGTTTTAGTTTTTCTGTTTAGAGAGCTGGCCCTCTTCCACACCGTTTGTAGAAGAGACTACCCTTTCCTCATGGACTTATCTTGGCACCTGTGATCGCCAGAGAAGAGAGAGACAGTGAGAGGGAGAGTGAGAGGGAAAGTGAGGAATCAGCCCCCACGGGGATGGCTATGCTGCCATAGCTTCTTCTCCATTCTCTTCCTGGGAAGACATCTGAAAGTAAGCAAATAAATAAATGAATAAAAGGAGTAGTCAGTTTCTATGTTGACCTTACTCAACTTGCATATGAATGCTAGGCGCTTTTTGTATATTGCTTAGGATTTTCTGCTTAGAGATCAAGTCGACTTATGCCTTTTTTACTTTTTCCTGTTGTTTTGTACCAGGGCCTCCAGTCTGATGTTGAATAGACGTGACGAAAGCAGATATCATTTCTCATTCGGAATTTAGGGGGCAAAGCGTTTAGTCTTTCACCACTAAGTCTGATGCCAGCTGCAGGTTTCCTGTAGATGTCTGTTATCAGGTTGAGAAAGTTCCTTTTTATTCCTAGTTTGCTGAGAGGAATAAAGGAATTTCTGCTCTTATCTTTATTATGTCTTTTCCTCTACTTACTTTGGTGTTAAATGTTCTTCTTTTTATATCTTTTTAAAGTGGAAGCTTAGATAATGGACTTTAGACCTTGCTTCTTTTTTTAATATAAGAATCTAAAGCTCTACATTTTTCTCAAAGCACGTTTTTAGTTTCATCCCACAAATGTCGATATATTTTGTTTTGTTTTCATTCAATTCAAAATATTTTCTAATTTCCCTTGTGACTTCCTCTTTGATATGAGTTAGAAATGTTTGGTTCAGTTTCTAATATTTAGGGATTTTCCAGATATGTTTTTGTTACTGATTTCTAATTCAATTCCTTTCTATTAAAATAACATATTGGGGGGACCAGCAGATGGCATAATGTTTACATCCCTGGACTCCCATGTAGTCGACCACTGTTTGAGTCCTGGACCCAGTGGCTTAAAACTCACGCCGGAAGGCATGTACGTGAGTGACCAAAATCCCAAGAGGAGATTGGAGGAAAAGAGATTGTGGCTTGGCTATTCTCCTGGGGGTTGATTTCTTGCTTTCTGTCTCTCTGTCTCTCTGGCAAATGCATGAGCCCTATAGCAAAAATCTCTCCCCCACCCCCCAGTAATAACATATTGGGACCAGTAGATGGCACAATGGTTACATCACTGGACTCCCACATAATCAACCATGGTTCGAGTCCCAGACCCAGCGACTTGAAACTTATGCTAGGTGCCTGTGTACCAAAAATCCTGAAAGGAGAATGGAGGAGAAAGGATTGTGGTGTGGGCATCCCCCATGCGGGGGTGGGGGGGTGATCTCTCACTTTCTGTCTCCCTGGTGAGTGCACATGCCCTATAGCAAAATCTCTCTAGAAAATATATAAATAAAATAACATATTTTATATGATTTCAATTCTTTCAGTCCATGAGATTTACTTCATGGCCCAATATGTGGTTTATATGAATTCGTATCCACCAAAAGAATATGTGGTCGCTTATAAATGTCAATTACTTCTAGTATTATTTTTAATGAGGTCATCGGAAGATCAAGAGTATTTCTCTGTGTTTTTCTATGCAAAAATGCACCATGACTTTTCCGATGACTCAATATATATAGTTCAAATATTCTATATCCTTACTGATTTTCTGCCTATTTGTGGTATCAGTTACTGAGAAATAACTGTCACCACCTCCAATGGGGACTGCGAATTTTGCTACTTCTCTCTGTCTGTCAGGTTTTGCTCAATCTGTTTTGAGATCCTGTTATTGAGTGTGTACACACTTAAGATTGCGATATCTCTGGTTAATAAGCCTTTATCGTTATAAAATGTTCCTCTATTTCTGATATTGTCCTCGTATGAAG